TGTGATGTGTCCTGACTCACCTGCGCTTGTGGGCAGACACTCATGTGCATGTCTGTAATCCAAGATGGCCAACAGTCATGATCACTTCCCAAGTCCCACTTTCCCCAAACCCACTTATGAAAGATGACCACATCTCTGCCTTGCTGAGACAATCAGGCCCGGACCCTCGATGGCTTCGCTTCTCCACTATCTACACATCAGTCCCTCCAGCCTTCCTTTGCCCAGCCCCCCCTCAGCATGTGAATGTTTGCCTCTCCATCAGGAAGCAAAGAGAGACAGGAAGGGGCTAACCATTTCCTTCAAGGGTCCCTGTGATGGCCAATCCTAGCGGCCAATGTGACAGTATTTAGAATTATCACAGAGTCTATAACAAATTCTCTATGTTGGGTTAACTACGGTAGGAAGACCGAGTGTGGCAGGCTGGGGTCCCATACTGAATGAGGATGAGATGGAGCTAATCAACAGCACTGGGGGGTGCACTGTGACGCCTTGCCACCTTGTTTTACCTTCATGACGGACTGTGCCCTCAAACTGAGAGCCAAAATAAACCCCTCCTTCCTGACGTTGCTTCTTATTGGGTATTTACCACAGCAGTAATAAAAGTAACTAAGACAGTTCCCGATGGCCTAAGGTCCTCCCAGCGGGCCCTTTCTACTAGATGTAGAACGCCATGAGTCCAGGACCCTTTAAAACCCAGAACTTCAGAGAACAAAATAGTCACCAGCACGGTGACTTACGCCTGCACCTGCCCCCTGCAAGGTGAAGAGATGTCAGTCTGGCCTCTTTGTACCACGCCCAAGAATAAACAGAGCCTGAACCTATCCTCAGGGCACCCCTTAGCAAGAAAGGGCCAGGGCTCCACCACACACCACAGACTTGTGAACTTAGGTGCCATCTGCTGGCCAAAGACGGTACTGCATTTGGACCTGTTGCCCTAAGGGGTAGTCAAGGAACCGAGCTGATTCAATCCAGGCCAAGGTCACTTTTGAGACAGCAGAAAATGTCCCTTTCTCTTTAGGAACCAGCTTTTGGGCCTCCTCTTATTACTTTCTGCTGCCTTTGACTTATCCAAGTGGCCCCCAGAACTCATTCTAAGTCAGTCCCTATGCAAGGATGAAGCCCTTCAATGACCTTATCCCTACACTGATAGGACGGCCTGATGTCAAGGGGCTGGGAGTCATCTGGAACCAATGTAACCATGAAGTTTAGAGTCCAGGGATGCTGTAGCCTATATCTTATGTGCCATCCGTATAGTGGAGATACCCTCTTAGACCAGTCCTAACTACCTGGAACAGGAAATGGCTTGAGTACACAATTGATTCTCAAGGACTCTGTGGCTGGGAAGGGTCCTGAAGAAACACATGAAGGAAAAGCACCCTCAGCTCCTGCCGGACCCTGCCATATATGGTCTGAGAAGCAGGCACACTCACACAGTCTTTGAACTTGGGATGACCTTAAAACCTAGCCAAGGACTGGGGAGCTAGAAAAAGGGTGATGCCGGAAGACTACATCCCGGAAACGAGGGATGGAGCCCAGCTGCCACGGGAGGGGGCAGGAATCAGTGCAGCTCTTCGACACTATCCTTAAAGCGCAAGTTTTTCCCAAGCAGTGTCATGGGAGGGGTTGGGGGAGGAGGAAGGAGTACAAAGTGAGTGATTTCCTCCGCCCTCACACCCCCACACTCACCTACCCTGCCTCCCACACAGCCCCTTTCCCCTCCTCTCCACCCACAGACGAAAAAGTGTGTCACCAGAGAACACATGCCACCTTCCCAGGGGGTGTGGAGACTGCCTGGGCGCCTATGGTACTGGAGATTTCTAAGCTCCCCAGCAATGAGGGACAGCCACTCAGAACTATGACCTGGACCTCACTCTCTCAGGAGAACTACAGACAAACTGGGACAGTAGCCATACAGCCAGTAGGCTTAGGATGAGCTATAGGAGGCTGGAGAAGGCAGCCTGAATACTCAGGAGACTTCTTCCAGCCCCAAACATCCTGCAGCCAGCTGGTTGGCCCCACCACCACTGCCCACACCTCTGACTTGCCACCTCCCTCTGCCCTGGCCTGGTCTAGAAGGAGCCCCACCCCTCACCCAGATGCTTCCAAGGGTTAATCTTCTCCTACCACCCCTCCCTCACATCCACCCCTGCCGAGCTGCCACATGCTAGCAAGCATGCTCTCAGCACTGTTATTACAGTGAGTTATTTCGTTTTAGCTTGGGAGGGGGGTGCATCTCACACTGTTGGAAGCCAGAAGCCAACAGTTGAAGCAAGAAGCAAAGGCAGTCAGGCTAGCACCACGTCAACCCTGTCCGTGCTGCCCAGGGGTTCCTCTATCCAAGCTCTGATCCTCCTAGCCTCCAGCTTTCTCCCTGACTCCAGCCCTAAGTCAAATCTGCCTTTCTTTCCTTCTGTCTCCTTCTGGAGGAAATGTTCCTCAGAGCAAGCAGTCTTGGAGGTATCTGTGCCTGACCCAGGCCCCACAGAGTCAGACTTTGCGGGCCAGGCCATCACTGACATGCAGGAACCCCTTGTCTGGGTGCTAGATACTTAACTACAAGCTCCATATGGGGGGAGAGGGGTGCGGGGTGAAACAGGACTGATCTTTATCCAACCTCTGCCCCTATCCTCAGCCTTGCCTTGCATAACCTGGGAAAGCTCATTTGCCACTAGACAAACACCGGAAGCTACCAAACACCTTACTATTCTGGTCCTGCAGGTCCAGGGAAAATGGACTGTCATGGTCTTCATCCCTGGAGATTTTTCTGACTTGCAATAGAATGGCCTGATTTCCAACAAACCACACCACACTTGGAGGGTGCTAAGTTATGTGGGCCTGATACAGATGGTCTAGGGAGATCAAAGACTTCCCAGGACAGCTGCTGCGGTTTATATGGGATAAACAGCACCTAGCACTCTGCCTGACATTTGCTAGATGAATGGACAGATGGACAATTGGCCTAGTATCACTTGGCAGATAGAGAATATAGAAAAAAAAAAAAATTCCAGGCAGAGCAGGGATCGAGGCCACAGGCACTGGTGTTCACAGTGAGACATGGCGAGCAGAGCACAGGACATGACATCACAGCACTACCCTCTGTTTGCTGTCCATTGTCCTCTACAATCTTCATGTGCCCCTGTAAGGTGGACACTATGGTCTTTCCCTTTTTACAGATGGGTTCAAGACTCCAAAGCCCAAACTCGAGTCACCAAGGCCCCAGCCGCGCCGAAGCAGTCATAAAACAGGTAGGTGGTGGGGACCCTGTGTGTGTGTGTGTGTGTGTGTGTGTGTGTGTGTGTGTCTCTGTCTCTGTGTGTGTCTGTGTGTGGCTCTGTGTGTGTGTGTGTGTGTGTGTGTGTCTCTGTCTCTGTGTGTGTCTGTGTGTGGCTCTGTGTGTGTGTGTGTGTGTGTGTGTGTCTATGTCTGTGGCTGTGTCTGTCTCTGTGTGTGGCTCTGTGTGTGTTATGTCTGTGTGTGTGTGTGTGTGTCTATGTCTGTGTCTGTGTCTGTGTGTGGCTCTGTGTGTGTGTGTGTGTGTGTGTGTGTGTGTGTGTATGTTTATCTATGTCTGTGGCTCTGTGTGTGTGTGTGTGTCTATGTCTGTCTCTGTGTGTGGCTCTGTGTGTGTGTGTGTGTGTGTGTGTGTGTACCTGTGAGACCATCAGATCCTGAAGTAAAGATGGTTGTGGGTTTCCCATGTGAGTGCTGGGTACCAAATGCGTCCTCTAGGAGATTGGCAAGCACTCTCAAGCACTGAGTCATCTCTCCAATTTCCAGGATTTTAACTTAAGGACAACTGGGAGGCACCAACAGTTACAGAACAGGCACCAGATGACAGCTGGACTTTAAGATCATGCTCAGAAAAATCCAGAAGACACAGCACTAAGTGAGAGGAATAAGGATTTAGCAGCAGTCTTGGAAGGGGTGCTCAAGTTATAACACATAGTGTCTTAAGGCTGGGCCTGACCTGCTGCTCAGCCACCTTCAATGGGCACTCCAATCCCTCCCTGTGTCCAAAACAAGACAGTGACGGTCCAGGCAACCAGTTTAGAAAACAAAACAAAACAAAACAAAATCTCCCTGAAGGTCACCATCATGAGAGTGAAGGTGAGACAAAGGGGCCTTTTCTTCCTTTCTCTGTCACTCCAGAGTGCAGAATGGACATGAGAAGTTGAGACTTGGGGTCAGTTCTAGTATCTTTAAGGAAACCTTTTTTGTTTTGTTTTGTTTTTCTTTTTGAGACAGGGTCTCACTATGTAACTCTGGCTGTCCTGGAACTCACTATGTAGACCAGGCTGGCCTTGAACTCACAGAGATCCCTCTGCCTCTCTGCCTCTCTGCCTCTCTGCCTCTCTGCCTCTCTGCCTCTCTGTCTGCCTCTGCCTCTGCCTCTGCCTCTGCCTCCTGAGTGCTAGGATTAAAGGCCTTCAGTGCCATGTCCAGAAGGTAGCCTTGTGATAGTCAGAGGCCACTGGCAATAGATGAAGGAGGACCTTGGGCAACTGGCAGCTAAGAGAGTAAGCTCCCCATCCCTGGAGATCAAGCTGGATAAGTGTCTAACAGAAACACTCCAGAGAAACCAATGCAGTGAACTGGATGGTTTGCTGATGGCATCCTAGCACAATGTGCTAGTCTTCAACCCTCAGCTACAAAATGGAGTCAGTAATAGTTCTCCCCTCACACTTGCTATGAGGACTAACTGTGCCAGTGTAACACACGACAGTCATCGATATGCAGTAAACCCCCAGGAACTGACAGACAGTATTAGATCAAAACATCCAAACCATCTTAGGTTACCAGCCAACACTGTTGAATACGGACATCCCATATTTCAGCTATATATCTTTTACTGATGGTCACTGAGGCTCCTTCTAGCTTCTGGTTTAGCACTGAATCTTGCTGAGACATTTGATTCCACATCAGTGATGGCTCCTCCAGAGCCCTAGGCCCAGGCAGCAGGAACTTTTGTTCTGGTCCCTCCCTGCTCCAGAACAAGGTACCTCCTTGCCTAGGTCTTCTCGGATGACCTGTCGGACCTCTTCCATGCTGCTCTGTGGGGCCTGACTATGCAACACCTTCAGCGTGCTGGTGTACTCCTCTGGCAGCAGGTAGTCCAGAGCCCCCAGGTGCTGGCCAACCTTGATGAAGGTGCCCCGGTTGGCACAGCAGAGCTCACAAAGACGTCTGGCAGAGCGGAGATGCACCTGCAAGAGACAAGCAAGCCAGAGAAGTGAGAGCAGACTGTTCCCTGGACAGTATTCCCTTCTTCTGCCTCTCTGCTCAAACATATCTGTTTATTCCCCAGTGTCAAGGGCAGGTACACATACACACATACATGCACACACACACACACACAAAGACACAAACATGCAAATGCGCACACACACACAAAAATTCGTACACACACTCATGCCCACCCCCACACACATACATACGCACACACGTGCACACATACATGTGCATGCACACACACATGCACACACATAGACACACGCATACACACACACAGACACACAAAGATACCAACATACGAATGCGCACACACACAAACATGCGTACACACACTCACGCCCGCCCCCACACACATACGCACACCCATGCACACACACATGTGCATGCACACACATAGACACACACATGCACCCACACATGAACATGCACGCACACACACACACACACACACACACACACAAACCTCTCTTTTCATCTTCTACTTTCCTGGTCCCCAGAGCAGTCAATTCTAATCTCACACTGAGGCCAGCCTCTGCACACACTCTGATGCTTCCAGTCTCCTCCCATTCTATCAAAGCTTAACTGGTTGGAGCTTCAGTCCCCACAAGTGAGTATTCCCAGCTATTAGCCAAGACAAGCATACTGACTCCTTCAAGGGTATACTGAGCTAATACTTTTGCCACCTACTCCTCAACCATCTAGCACTTCGAGCTCTTTGCAGCTCTACCACTGACAGGATGATAACAGTAATAATAGTAAATAATAATAACGACTCATATGTATCATATTTTTTATTCCTCAAAGTAGTTCAGGGAGGCAGAGTTGATGCCTTTAAAGACAAGAAAGTCAGTTGTCATATTTAGAAAATAGAAATGTATATCCAAGGAAAGGCTACAAAACACTCCAAATCTAGGGCTTTATTCCCACACATGGAGCAGACAGCTGGGCAGGTTGTCAGTGATGAGACCGTCATTTACACTCAGATGTGACTCGTCCCTACATGCACCCAAGCTGGTCCTCCTGAATCATCAGCCCAGCCCACCTAAGGGTCTTGAGATTAGGTATCACATCCCAGAGTTACAAACAGTTGTGAGATGCCATGTGGGTGCTGGGAATTGAACCCCAGTCCTCTGGAAGAGCAGTCAGTGCTCTTAACCACTGAGCCATCTCTCCAGCCCTGGAGCTACAACTTCTAAAGAATTATGGGCCTTGCATATAATTTAGGAGACAAGGGAGTCCCAGTGTGCTATGGGGACCTGTTATCTGCTTCTTCCAACAAAGTAGCAAAGGATTTTGAACACTGAAGATGAACTTGAATACTCTCAGGTGCTAAGAAGAATAATGATGTAATTAGCAATAAGACCATGTGAAGAGTTCACACAGAAATGCCTTCCTGTATAATTAATTGCCAAGTGAGCCACACAGCACACTATTCCTTTAGATAATGGTTCTCAATCTGTGGGTCATGACCCCTTTGGGGATCAAATGAACTTTCACAGGAGTTGCCCAAGACCATCAGAAAGCAGATATTTACATTACAATTCATAACAGTCGCAAAATTATAGTTATAAAGTAATAACAAAAATAATTTTATGGTTGGAAGTCACCACACATGAGGAACTGTATTAAAGTGTCGCAGCATTAAGAAGGTTGAGAACCACTGTTTTTGATAGCAAGAAGAGAACACCAGGGTCTAGAGAGATGGCTTAGCAGTTAAGAACACTTGCTGTTCTTGCAGAGGAATTAATTTGGTCCCCAGCACCCACATGGCACATCACACACCATCTGTAAGTCCAGTTCCAAGGGTTTCAGTGCCTTCTTCTGACCTCCACGGGTTCTTGGCAAGCGTGGTACACACCCACACATGCAGGCAAACACGCAGACACATAGAATAAATAAAAATTTAGGCGGGCGTTGGTGGCACTCGCCTTTAATCCCAGCACTCAGGAGGCAGAGGCAGGCGGATCGCTGTGAGTTCAAGGCCAGCCTGGTCTCCAGAGCGAGTGCCAGGATAGGCTCCAAGCTACACAGAGAAACCCTGTCTTGAAAAACCAAGAAAAAAAATTTAAGAAAAGAAAAAGCACCCCTGCAGTCCTGAACACCCCTGTCCCAGCTCCAGGCTGTCTTCAGGCTCACGGGAACCCATCCATTTCTAACCCTGGCATATGGCTCTGATGCCCATCACAACTCATTCTAAGGGAAACCTATGGTCCTACAATCCCACCCCCTCAGTGGAATCCTCCAGCCTTGATTCAGACAGGGTCCTAGTGGCACCAATAATAGCAGGAAACAGAAAGAAACTAATCCCAACATGGAGAGTGACCCCAGAGGTGTTAAGAGTTGGGCGGCAGGGAGAGTCTCTTGAGAAGTGGAAAAATGGGGATCTGGGGGTGCAGTTCATCCGGTAGAATGTCTATCTAGCATCCATAAGGGTTTGGTTCAATCCCAGAACCAAAAAGAACTGAAACCAGGACAAAGCTGGCCAGTGCCAGACAGTGGAAGGACATATGGGACTGGGTTATGTAGAGGCCACATCTGGTCAAGGCTAAGCTGCAGTTCTGATGAGATGATGTGGTCAATATAAAGCTTAAAACTGCTGGGGCAAAAAAACAAATAAATAGATAGATAAGTAGATAAATAAATAAATAAATAAATAAATAAATAAATAAAGCTGCAGGGGCAAACAACTCAGTGTGTGAGCATTGGTAAAGCGCAGTGCCGGCATCAGGTGTCCTACTCAATCACACTACACTTCAACTTCCGAGACAGAATCTGTCAGTGGAGCTGGAGCTCATCCCTTCCTCTAGGGTGGCCGGCCAGGAGGCCAGGGGGACGGGAACCCACCTGTCTCCCAGCTTCCCCAAGGCTGCTGTTACATACAAGACCCAGGGTCTTCCCAACCAAGAAGACCCTTCATAATGTGTTGAGCACCCAACAGGCTGTTCCTACAGATTAGCTTGCTGTTGTACCCACTAACAAGCTCCTCTGCCAACCAGCAAGCTGCCCAAGAGGTGGCAAGAACCCAGCTAAGTCATCGGACCCAGCCTTGTTCTCTGTCCCATCATCTCCAGGAGTAGCTGCTGTGTGTATTTACAGTTATCGCCATTAGAATCTCATTGGATCTCTTTTAGGAGTTAGCCATCTTTCACTATTTAATAATTCTTTACATTCAATTTCCCCTGTTCAAATTACTTATGTAATTAGGAGCTGGGTGATACACAGTGCTAAGCCCTGAAGTTAAATCTGCAATGATTAAGATGAAAATTGAGGAACTTTTCAGGTCAAGAGAGCTATTGAAGCCACAGTGTGTGTGTGTGTGTGTGTGTGTGTGTGTGTGTGTATTGTTGGCAGTGTGTGCATTGTTGGCAGTGTGTGTGTGTGTGTGTGTGTGTGTGTGTGTGTGTGTGTGTGTGTGTGTTTTTGTGGGA